TGTGTCTATCCAGTTGGCTGGAAGACAGCAGAGTCTCCCTAAATGCAACAGAGATGTCCAAAGCCCGCTGGTATAATGTAGAAGAAAGAATCCAAAACCTTTGGAAGATTCATTCATTCACTGAAATCCAATGTTGGGCTGAGTTCATCAGACAACTCAGAGATACTCCCTTTACCATCATTTAGAAGTTCACTGCCAAGGACATCATCTTTGAAAAGTGATGCTATTTCTATATAAGGTCACATTGTGAGTTACAAGGCTTAGGTCTTCAGTGTATGAATTGTTTTGTGGGGGGACACAATTCAACCTTTACTTAACAAGCACCGTAGTCACTGTCCTCCATGGGTCAGGGATTCTGACTGGAGACACCGTAATTGAGATGACTCCTTGATTTCAATGCAGATACCAGGACCCTGGGCACTGAGAGGCAAGTAGCAGCCTTGAGCTGCCAGAGGAGAGAGAGGTACAGAGACCATGACATGCAGGAGACTTAGTGGTCATCTGAAAGGCCTGGCCTGAAAGGATCTTTGCCAGGATCACCAGGCCCCTAGGACCAAAACCGACAGGGAGGCCCATAGAATTCTCCTTGATGTGTGTAATAAAAGGACCAGAGGTCAGACCAACAGAGACCTGCCTGCAACAGAGAAGATTTTTTTTCTCCAACGTTCTAGGTAAAATCAGTTCATAAACTCAGGGGTCCCTGAAGGAAGTAGGGTGGGTGCCCTTTAAGGAAGGAGGGCCCTGTGCAAATGTTACAGGTTCATGCTGGCACTTTCTTCACAGTCCTTCCCAAAGGGACTTGTGGCCATTAACTAGGGTGTGGCCGACATGAGTTCTAGTCTACCCCAAAACCATGTTTCTTTTCTTTTCTTTTCTCTTTCTTTTATTTTTGAGAGTGAGAGAGAGAAGGGGAGGGGCAGAGAAAGGGAGATAGAGAATCCCAAGCAGGTTCTGCGCTGTTGGCGAAGAGCCCGACTTGGGGCTTGATCTCACAAACTGTGAGATCATGACCTGAGCTGAAATCAAGAGTCGATGTTTAACCCACTGAGCCACGTAGGTGCCCCCATTTTCTTTTTTTTAAAGTAATCTTGGGGCGCCTGGGTGGCGCAGTCGGTTAAGCGTCCGACTTCAGCCAGGTCACGATCTCGCGGTCCGTGAGTTCGAGCCCCGTGTCGGGCTCTGGGCTGATGGCTCGGAGCCTGGAGCCTGTTTCCGATTCTGTGTCTCCCTCTCTCTCTGCCCCTCCCCCGTTCATGCTCTGTCTCTCTCTGTCCCAAAAATAAATAAACGTTGAAAAAAAAAAAATTAAAAAAAAAATAAATAAATAAAGTAATCTCTATGCTCCATGTGGAGCTTGAACTCATGACCCCAAGGTCAAGAGCCATATGCTCCCCATCTTTCACTTTTAATAAATAGTTTTGTTCAGTGGTGCCGGATGGCTCAGTCAGTTAAGCATCTAACTCTTGATTTCAGTTTAGGTCATGATCTCACAATTTGTGAGATCAGGACCTACATGAGCTTTGCACTGACAGCACAGAGCCTGCTTGGGATTCTCTTTCTCTCCCTCTCTCTCTCTGCCCCTCCTCCACTCATGCTCTCTCTCTCTCCCTCTCAAAATAAATAAATAAATGAATGAATAAATTACTTAAAGAAAAAAGGTTTTGCTCAAACAACAATGTGCCCAGCCCCACACATGATTGCTTTAAGCCATACATGCCAACACTCCCCTTTGCTGATGATAATTGTATTTTAATTTATTAATATATAGTATATGATTATTATATTATAAATATAATTCAAATATTGCTGAAACCTATATCTTTGCAACATTTCTTTCTATCCAAATACGCTTGATCTTAACATCCAATCATGGTCATTGTTTTCTAGCAATCCAAAATGCTACAAAATTTCTCAACATGACAATATATAATTGCTCTTTCTAGGTTGTGGTAGAACACTGGACCCGAAGAAAAATTCTCATAGTGTTAAATCTCATTCCTTCTGCTGTTGCTTTGTTGCTAAAAATCTTTAACACCTTCTTCCAGAAGTGCTGAGGCCTCTCAGGTCAGGTGTCCACCCAGGAACTCAGTGCCCAGAGACAGGGTGAGGACCATCAAGCTGTCTCCTAATTTCACCTACCAGGAGGACCGTTGCAGCTGGAATCCCTCTGAACTCGGGGATGATGCCCAGGGGGTTTTGTCATCCATCATGACACAGCTGGGTAAGGCACAGCCATAGCCACTGGCAACACCAAACCACTCAGAAACAGCCCAGCCACAGCCACCTCCAACCTGACACACCGAGAGAGGTGCAGATGGGCACCCAGCCATGTCCAGCCCCATCATGTCCACTGAAGAGCAGCCCTGCCCTCCCAACAGCCCAGCCCCAGGGCGAGAGGTATGGAAAGTCCAGTGATTTTCTGGGGCACAAGAAAGGGAAAACCCTGCCCCTCATCTCATCTTCCCCAATCCAGAGGTAGGTGACAAAGAAAACACAACAGAACTAGCCAACACGTCCCCACCCACAGCCTCATGCAGACCTTCCGTCCATCCTCCATCCAGCCCCTGGTTCCCCTCTCCAGGGATGCCGACATTTGAGATCCATAATTTCCCCTCATTGGTGCTCTGCTCCAAATGCTCCCTCACACATCTGCTTCCTGCTCAGCGATGAGCACCCAGAACCCTAGGTTGGCCCAGAGAAAACTCGGCCCTGTCCCTGCCCATGTGCACCAGGCCCAGGGCACACTCCAGGGCAAGACAGTTTCCTCTCCAGAGAGGGGTAGGCATGGAGGTGGGAGCTGGACCAAGGACCCCAACACAGACCTACGAGAGACTACAACATGGGAGTGTGCAGAGCCAGCCGGAAATACCTCACAAATGGAGAGATGGTCACAAGATACAACCTTAGATTCTTATATATTTTATTTTTTTTTAAAGTAAGCTCTAGGCCCAACATGGGGCTCGAACTCATGGCCCCGAGATACAGCTGCACACTCTACCAACTGAGCCAGTCAGGTGCCCAATTTTTTTAGAAAAAGTATTTATTGCAAAGAATGCTAGACACAGTGTAATGTGTGGCTGAGATCCAACAACCTCCATTCTGAAAAGAACGGGAAAGTGTCTTCAACATAAGCACATCCACCATCATGGATAGAACCAGTGGCCAACCCAGTGGGTTGCTGACCATGCAGAGACCACTCCAGGGCAGAGGCAGAGAGGAAAGGCCCCAACCCACACCATGCCCCCAGGCTTCCTTCTGCCTTATCCCAGGCCCTGTGACACTTTGGGCCCGGCAGCTCCTGACTGCCCTCTGGGCACAGAAAAAAGGCCTCGCTGGTCATGCCTCAGTCAGTTCGAGGTCCTGGCGAAGTGGGGACATCCAGACGTAGGTGCCACCAACAAAAGAGACCCATTATGGCCAAAAAGTGAGTGTGTCCAAGTGACCGAGTCACCCAAGACTCTGGGGACACAGAAACAAAGGCTGTGGTCCTCATGTCCCAAAGGCAGTGGCATGGTCCCCTGGTCCTGAGTCTAGGGCTTGGGGCTCTGGCAGGAGGTAAGTCCAGAAGATCTTGCCCCAGCCCTCCACCGTGTCTGTCCACAGCCACTGCAGCACCCAAGGCTGACAGACCGCCAGCTGGGGCAGGGACATGAACTTCCCTCAGGGACAGGTGGCACCTGCAGGCTGCAAAGCCCCGGAAGGCTGGGAAAGGTGGGTTGTTCTGCCAAGGAAGGTTCCGGGTACAAGGTGGGCTCGGGATCCTGGGTCCTGTGGACGGTGGGGCGTCCGACTACAGGTCCAGACACCTCCTCACCCAGCCTTGCGACTTGCTGGACAGGTCTCCTGCTCAGCTATAAAATGGAGCCCAAACCCACTGCCCAGCCTGCCTCTCTGGGCTCAAAAGAACTCAGGGGCGTGACAGATGGTAGCCTTCTGAGGTCGTTTTCTGCCATGCTCCCATACACGTGAATCAAAAGCTACGATATGGCTGAGCAAATCCTCCCCTGGACAGGGTGCCTCAGGAGTCCGCCCTTTCCCCGGCTCAGTCCCACGGGCAGAGGTCAATGAATGCCAGGACAGGCTTTTTTTTCTCTGAATCGTTCACAGCAAATGCATGTCTCGGCCACCGGGGTACACTCCCGTGTGGACACAGGCGGCAACAGGCAAGAGGTAGCCTAGCAGGCAGGGCCAGGAGGGGAGGGGGACAGCAGCCCCTCCCTCAAGCACCTGGGTGTACACTGGGAAGAACTCACACAACCACCCTGTCTTTACGTGCTTTCACTGTGCAGCAGGTGGGCAGGGGTGGCCTTGGCCATCAGCTCTCGCCAATGTTCCAGTGTGTGCGCAATTGAGAAGCGGTGACCACAAAGGCTGTGTTCCCTGCGTGTTCTGTACATCATGTCGTGGTGAAGTGAGCACACTGCTCATACAAGTGGCCTGGCCAGTGGAGGTACCTGCCTTGGTGGCTCTACGGGTCCTGGCAGGGCAGGATGGGAAGGGCTCTTTCTCACCCAAGGCAGTGGAGCTCAGGCTGCCATGAAGACCTTGCCTCAGGCTCAGGAAGTGGCCACAGAGGAGACGGCGGAGCCCCTGCAGGGGGCCCCCCCGGTCCACCTCAGACAGCTCGGCCGTGGTGGGATCGTCACAGCAAGTGCTTTCTGTTCACATGTTTAGGGTTTCACACTTCACAAAGCCAACCGACTGGTGAGAGGACACCTCACAGCTGCAACAGAAGGACCGGGTTGCTAGGAAACCTCTCACCAGCCCAGGGCAGACGCAGTCTGGCCAAATGATTCTTAGCAGCAGGTCAGGCACCACGTATAACCCTGTCGCCATTAACAAGGAAGCAGGTGGGCTGGTGCGGGGGCTCTGGGTGCCACCAACCAGGTGTGGCGTTGAGGATGATCCAGCATAGAAACTGTCACATGGAGCAGGGGCCTGTAATGATCTCATCTGCAGAGATCAGTACCTGCCTGGGGGTCGCAGTGGATGAGACATGGTCACTGGTGAGCAGGGACAGTGACGAGGGCTTCCTCTGGAGGCCTCGAGATATCTACATTCTGCAAAACAAACAACACAGAAGATTCACGCTGTGGTGAGAATAGACAGACACCCACTGTCCTGCTGCCTACTTTCCTCATCACTGTGCACCTGTGGGTTCACATACTCACCCCCCAGGAGCCCTGGCTGCAGGACTCCGTTCCCCAAATTTCCCTAAGAGCAAGGGCCCAAGAGCCTCTCAACATATGGTGGGCGGACGAACACAAGGGTTCAAAGGCAGGGGTGGAAGATGCCCCCAGTTCCTGCTTGCTCCTTGCACACAGGCCGGGCATCACCCAAAGTAAGGCTATCTCCACCTCCTGCCCCAGGCCTGAGTCAACCAGGAGGAAACAGCTGGCTTGCATCCTCGCCAGTGGGGGGCAGGGAAGGGAACCGGCTCCTGGGGGCGACCTCCTCCTGGCTCGAAGTGTCGGTGGACAGGTGTCAGATGTAGCCCCAGCAGCTTGTGGACATCTCGTAGTCTGTGGCGTGCTTTGTCCTCTCAGACCTGGGGTGGGGCACTCTGGACCTCCTGAAGCCCTCAGCTACAGATGGGCCCTGTCAAACCACAAAGTCCACTTCCTTCCACAGCTTGCTGAGCTGTGGCCTAAGGGATTGAGAGCCTGACACCTTCTTCAGCTCCCTGAGATGGTCCTATGGGACCCCCAAATCCTGGTGGCCCATCTTCTTGATTGGGGGCCCTTGCAACCATCACCTGCTGAAGCAGGTCACGTTGGGCCACAGCCCCATGTGATGTGATGTGCCCGGATCTGCAGGGAGGAAGACACTGCCCCCACAGGCACACCTGTGCGTGCCCTGAACCAGCCACTGGAATTGGAGGGGCAGGTGCAATTCTCATGGTGGGTGGGGCAGGCTTCCCGAGGGCCCCCTTTCCCATCACATTCCCAAGAATGGGCTAGGACCCAGGGATCCCGCCACCTGAAAGGAAACCAGCCAGGAACCTATGGCCAGCAGAAGTTTGCCTCTCAGAAGCCACCACGCAGAGGTGGGCAAGGTGGCTGCGACCTACCCCATGGTCATGCCGGCTCCTGTCCCGTTGATGCGGGCATCAGCCCCCAATGACTGCTGGCTCCAGGGGCTTCTCTTACCATCACCAACCATCACCCTGTCAGTCAGTACTGGGGCCCAGTGCCTTCTGGGCTTTCTTCCGCACAAAGGGTGCCTGTTAGGACATGCCTTCTCCTGTGACCTGTGGGTGCCAGGCTAGGCCTGGGGCAGACTCTCAGGACAAATAGAGAAGTGGCCTACACGGTAGATGGTCCCAGTGATGGGCAGCAGTCTTAAGAACATGCACATATCTCTGCCAGTGGGGTTCAAGGTCAAGGGGTGGCAGGTGAGCAGCCCAAGGCTTACACCTTTGATAGGGACCCAGAGCCCCCCATGCTCCACTGTAGGTGGCAGCAGGCACAACAGAGGCCCCAGAGGCCTTCTTGCTGCAGTAGACCTTGTGAATGAGGTCCAGAAGGGCGACTCCGGCCCTTGGCCTCAGTGAAAGAGAGACCTCACGTGGACATAGAAAGTGGTTCTGGGCAAAACTTTGAGGAGCTTCTATCTTAAACAAGGCACTGGGGGAACACAGGATAGTGAACTGCTCTTCTGCATGACAGTCTCTGTCCAGTGCCAACACCCTCTCAGTACCTGCACGGCCCTTTCTGCAACAAAGCACAATACCACTTTAATTGTTAAAGGTGTGCTCAAGTTGGAAAAGATGCTCGTGAGGCCTGAGCTTGTAGGGGAATATGGAAGGATCCCCACATGCCCCCTAGTAGGGCCTCTTGCTTCTTTCCCAGCTGGGATCCCCCACCCCCTGGCTCAGACCGCTATGGTAGGGCTGCTGGGAAGAAGCCACCACACCCAGACTCAGGCACTGCCTAGCCTGGGGACCCAGCTCCAGGGATTTCTCCACCCCCAGGCCAGCATCCTCGGGAAGGCCTAGCCCAGAGCCATGACCTCGCCCTGGTGATAAGACAGCAGCTTTGGCAGAGAACTCCAGCTCACTCTGGCAGGCACCCCAGTTGGCTCTGGGCCTTGAAGATGCTGTGCCTGGATACCCCCAGGAATGTGCTCGCCCCCACAGCAGTGACCCCGTTGCTACCTGAGGCCTGTCCCGGTGCGTATTCACAGCCATCACGTTCAGGAATATCGACTCCACTTTACAACCTGCCAAAGGGAAGATGGAAATCCATTTCCCCTCCTGGAAGGCCGCTGGAGCCACAGAGGGTAGAAACGTCTCTCAGGTCGAGGCCTGGGGTATGATAGACTAGACAGCCATCCTCTGCCTCGTCCTGGTCCTCTCACCTTAGGCAGCTCTGCAGAGCATGTGAGGAAGGATGAGGTACCCAGTCAGGCCCACATTTATCACGTGCCACAGCGCAGCCTTGGTGAGGAGCCCAAACACCCAGGCAGGGCTACACCGAGGACCCAAGCTGCCCACTGGCGGGGCGGAGGGCAGCCTGAGTGGCGGGCCTGAGCTCGGCATAGAGTCATTCTGTGAGTCTTCAGAGCCGCCAAACCACTTACAGCCCAAGCACACTACAAACACAAGCCCGATAGGCCAGGCGTTCAGTGCAATGGGGGATGAGGGGATGAGCACACACGGGAATGACATCAGCTGCCACTAGGCTTTATGGTCATTCTCCGGAGGACACGACCACCTGAGGGGTGCCTCATGGCCTGTGTTGAAAGTGAGGAGCTGAGACCCAGGAGCTCAGGCCCTGCACCCAGACTATTTTAAGGCCCAGGTCCTAGAGGCTTTGGGGCTTTACGGGGGTTTCAGAAAAACCAGTAGAAAAGCCCCTCATGTGGGTGGGTGATGGTTGAGGATCACTGGAAAGGCACCAGTGGCCACAGAAGTTAAAAACAAACAAACAAACAAACAGAAAATAAAAAAACAACAACTAAAAATTATAAATTGGGAGGGGTGCCTCTCTGACTGGCTCAGTTGGTAGAGCATGTGACTCTTGATCTCGGGGTTGTGAGTTTGAGCCCCACACTGGGTATAGAGCTTCCTTAAAAAAAAAAAAAAAAA